AATAGCAGGTGCCAACGCAGTGAGAGTGGCTTGTGACGTAGGCGGTGCGAAAAATATACCACACAACAATGAAAGCTAGTTTCATGATTGCGTTACGATCGAATTTGCTTTTCCCTGAAGTTAAGAAATACATCAATAAGTCCAATGTGAAATAATTGGGTTATGTTAAGTTCATTCAAAAGATTAGTATTGAAAAAAAGAGGCACTAGAGAAGATGGGAGAGTGCAAGAAGACGAGTGAAAGAGGTGTGATGCGATTAAAAGTAGAGGAAAAAAAGAAGAAGCCAAGGTTAAAAGGGGAGAGAGCAAGACAGAACAGCGGATACAAATACGATTTCCCATTGCAAAAACGAAAAAAAAGACTTTTTCGTGGTTGTCGACCTTCGGTAACTGTTTCTTCGCTTTCATTTTGATAAATCGGCGAAAAATGCATTTAAGTGARGCAAAATACACACATTTAAAAGATATACGTTCACTTACTTGATGACAACACAGTTCTTGTGATGTTTCTTGTAGCGTGTACTGAGTTTCTAGATCTGTCCTATTCTGATAATATCCCAGTGCTGACTTGTTTATGAATGTTGTTTTTTTAGCAAGTCTCAGTAAATATCATTATAGAGTACATAATTAAATAGGATTTTTCAATGGAGTGCTTTGAGTAAAACTAGCATCGCGTCATCTGTTATATCCATTATTCATATTCGCATTCTATTTTTTTACAGTGGTCTATTCATGATTTTTTAAAAACCATTGTTGCATGGCTATTCATTTCTCCTGTTATTATTTGATTTCTGAAGTTCACTAATTAAMTTGTGTACATGATAAAATATTGKATTTTCGGAGTCAATGTTTTTGTGTAATCTAACTTCTGTACGCAATATTTCAAGCGTTGAAAGTTTGAAGAGCTTCTTGTATGTAGCGTTTTGGTAGGTAATGATTCATGAGTGAAGATATGGATAATGATACCATAAAAAATGCCAAAAGCAAACACAAAAAGAAAGAGAAGCAATTGGAAAATGACATAAAAGATGTTAGAAGACGAAGGCTTCACTACTTTAAGTCAGTATAAAAATGAATTAAATTCAAGGAAAACTGAAAGTAAAGCTAATGAAAAATGKGAAGATAACATTTATAATTAGAAACAATATTAAAAGATTGAATGTTGAAAAGAAAAAGTTAAAAATATGACCGAGAAGGAAATAAATTAGTTGATCTAAAACAGAAGGCAATAAATACTGACATTAACTTGCAAATACTACTGAAACTATGGTGTTTCTCAGGACTCTTGTCCTAACCACCACTGTGTTGTAGATTCAGGGGTGGCAGTGCATGTTGACACCCCGTACTTGTTACTTGGTTCCGTATCATCAACTGTGTCATAAAATCCAAAGCTGTCAACACCGACTATCTGATTAGATGTTGGTGTAAAGGCACATGAATTGTTATATATGACATCAAGATGAAAATGCCACGAAACAACACTACCATGAAAGGTCGCGGCAGTACAGTTGGTACAGTTATATCCTCTTATATCAATAAACTTGTACCTCCTACATCCAGAGATGTCAGTCACAATATCCACGTCACTCAAGGAACCAATTAGRAGGTCTGGAGTCAAAGAAGATCGTTTTGGGAAGTCACAAGTGGCTCTGAACAGCGTGGATATAGACTTARTATAATTCATTTTTCCGCCGGCCATACGAAATCGATCCCAGTTTGGAGACTGATTACTGACCGGAAAATCCATGTAAAATGGTTTATTTTTAAATTCTTGGCTGTTGTTGAATGCAAATGATTCAATCAAAGTCCAGGCCTGGTTGGGAACGATAAAAGAACAATATACCTTGGTCTTCTTCTTGTCGTTCCTGTCGGCCCGTAATATCGTGTACACTCCATCTT